CTGAAGCGCTCTGCTACTGCGCAGCTCATCACCTGTGCTGCGGTGATTTCACCTCACTGACGCAGCATCGAAAGGCGCTCTCCGCTTTGCGGTCAGGAGATCCCTTTGATCTGCTCAGAAGTAACTGATGAGGTGAAAAAGTAAGAACCCAGGCAGCAGATTTTCTGGAGAGTTTAGAGGAGATGCAGGGAGATGAGAGACAGACAGGACAGGAAAATAGTTCAATAAAAACAAGAAAACAAAACAAAAAGTGTTGAAAAGTAAAATGTAGGTAGATTTATCTCCACGACACGTTTTTACCAGTAAAACATTAAGTTATACACATGTAATATTTATACATCTGATACAATTCAGATCACCTTCACAACTCAGTCACACCCAGGGCCGTTTCAAGACATTTTGGGGGCCAAGGCAAAATGCCCCCCCCCCCCCCCCCCCCCATAACTGGGCTCCCAGAAGCCTCTGTGTAATTCATACCCTCTCCAGGAGTGTTAGTTATACAGTGTTTATAAAAGCCCCTCAGATATTACTGACATGTTCTAATATTATCAGATGAAAAAGTAAATTATCAGACATGCTGTCTCATCTGCTTCTTTTCTAAACTTGCAAAAAGTAACAAAACCATTTGAAAGCCACTATTTGTGGATTCTCTGAAAGTTTCCATGGAGTGTGTGACAACTTATTTTATCATTGATCCTATCGTCTAATCTCACAGCTGAAACAAGCATCCTTAATAATCTGTGCACAGGAAGCTTACCAATGCTGTAGTAAAACAAAAGGTATAATAATTTATTATTAATAAAACCTTGTTGCAGCACTAAAGCAGAAAAATGAGATTTTGCAGTAAATATGCAAAATATTTACATATGAGTTGTTTTAGAGCCCTTTTATTGGCAGAATCTGATATTAATTTAATTCTTACAAAAAATGGGTCCCAACATGGTTTGTGTGGCGTTGCCATGGTGTGACGTCATAGGCACAGATCCCCTGTCCTCTTGTTTGGAAATGGAAATATGATCACCCTACATTAAACAAACTGTCCACCCGGGCTTTTGCGCTGCACAGAGACGCTTCGCTGCCTACGACTGAACGTCAGTTGAGAGTCAGTCTCATGCAGACTGACCAATGAAGAGAGGGCCTCAAGTTAAGACCCTCTCCTCATTGGTCAGTCCACACGAGGTGGGTCAAAGGTTACTCTGGGCGGCTTAGGTGTGTTCTTGCTGTGTCTTTGTAAATCCATGCTTTCGTTCTTTTTTAAACACAGAAACAGTTTTGTTTACCTGTTTGTAGCTACGGTTTCGCCGAACAGCTGCCGGGCAGTAGAGGGCGACAACGTCCTCTGCTGCCCGCAGATAAACGGAGAAGGAAGTGACGCGCCACCATCAGCGTCAGCCTGAAGAAGCCGGCAGCTGTTCGGCGAAACCGTAGCTACAAACAGGTAAACAAAACTGTTTCTGTGTTTAAAAAAGAACGAAAGCATGGATTTACAAAGACACAGCAAGAACACACCTAAGATGTTCAAAGAGAAATACGGACAACAAGGAACGAAGGACTTCCGCCGTTTGGAACGATTACACCAGAAACGCGCACGTCTAATAAACCACCTTCGCTTCTGTTTAAGATGCCGGGACGAAAACATCACACCCACAAGCCTACAGCTGAAAACATCGATCCGGACCCAGACAGCACAAAATATAATAGAAAGAGCACAGAGAGCACTGCTCAAGGAGAGGATAAGGAACGTCATAACCAAACAGAGGCGTGTGGAGGACGAACTGGAAAGAGGACACCTGGACTTGAAAAGGAATTACAAACTTGATAAACAAATGGAGGAACTAATTAAAGGACACATGATGGAAAAACAGGAACAAGAGTTCATAAAAGTGAAAGAAAGACACATAAAGAAGTTAAACAGACTCATAAACAAGAAAAAGAGGGGAGAAATACAAGGCAACTCCACACCAAACTCATGGGTATGTAACATTTCACAATACAAACTAACAGAAGCAGAAGAAAGCATATTAAAGAAAGGTTTAAACTTTGCAGTCACACCAAAAGAAATACCATATGATGAATTTATTGTAGCAACAGAACTAGCATGTCAACAGATCACAGATGAGGGAAAGAAAGCAGAACTCAGAAATAACGTAGTTGGGATATTAAAAAACAGCCAAATTCAACACAGCAATATTACAAAAGAAGAACAATCAGCCATGACAGCTTTATCCAAAAATGAACAGATAATTATTCTACCGGCAGATAAAGGAAGAACCACAGTAGTTATGGACAGAGAAAAATATAAACAACAGATGAAACAGATGCTAGAAGACAAAAATACATATGAAATACTTAAAAAAGATCCAACAGAAAACATTAAGAAAAACATGAAAAAATTACTGAAGCCACTGCACGAAAAAGGCAAAATAACAGAAAAAATGTACAAACACTGGATTCCCACAGCAAACATAACACCAAGAATATATGGAACACCAAAAATACATAAACAAAACACCCCACTTAGACCAATAGTTGACAGCATAGGTACACCAACATACAACATGGCAAAAGATATCAGCAGAATCATCAGCCCGTTATTAGGAAATACAGACCAACACTGTAAAAATAGTATAGAATTGGCAAAAGAACTAAAGGAAATTACAATAGAAGACAACGACATACTCATCTCACATGACGTCACATCTCTGTTCACAAAAACACCAACCCAAAAAACCATAGACATAGTAGTTAACAGAATCAGACAAGACAAAACTTTACATAAAAGGACAAACCTCACAGCAGATGACATAGCACAACTGATAGGACTGGTAGCTAACTCCACTTACTTCACATACGACAACACAATATACAAACAACTAGAAGGCTTCGCCATGGGTAACCCGTTATCAGCCACCCTGTGCGAGTTTTTCATGGAAGACCTGGAACAAAAAGCCATAGCCACCGCCCCCCCAAACTGCAAAATAAAACTATGGAAACGCTACGTAGACGACATACTGGAAATCATACCAAAAGGTCAAACAGAAACACTAACACAACACTTAAACAATATTGACGACACGGGCAACATAAAATTCACTTATGAGTTAGAAACAGAAGGCAGCATAGCATTTATGGACATGAAAATCACCAGGCAGACCGACGGGACCCTAAACATAAACACATACAGGAAACCAACACACACAGACCAATATCTATTATGGACATCAGAACACCCCACCATACACAAAATGTCAGTAATCAGAACATTATATCACCGAGCAAACATAATAACAGAAGAGAGAGACCGTAAACAAGAGGACAAACACATACAACACGCTTTAAAGACCTGCAGATACCCGACATGGGCAATAAACAAAGGAAAACAACAAACAAAAACAGAAAGCAAAGAACAACCCAAAAAAAGAACCAGAAACCCAGAAAGACAAGAACCAAAACCAGTGATAACCCTACCATACATCAGAGGCATAACGGGAAAAAATAAGAGCAACAATGAAAAAACACAACATAAACACACCAACAAAGCCATACACAACAGTTAGAAACAGATTAGTACACCCAAAAGACAAAATATCAGCTGGACAAAAATGTGGAGTCATCTACGAAATCCCATGCAAAATATGCAATAAAACATACATAGGAGAAACCGGACGCCAACTCAATACACGGACAATAGAACACAGAAAGGAGTGCGAGAAAGAGGCAAATCGTAAACACACAAGAGCAGCAAAAGAAGAAGCAGAAAGCACAATAAAAAAGTCAGCCGTAACAGATCATTGCTTAAGAGAAAACCATATAATGGACTGGGACAGCACACGGATCATAACCACCGAACAACAAAAATACAAAAGATGGATCAAGGAAGCAATAGAGATAAGGAGACGTGGATGTGGGACCATGAACAGGGACGACGGAGTTTACACGCTGGACCACGCATGGGACTGCATCGTCGGAGAGGGGAGAGCGGGCAGTAGAGGGCGACAACGTCCTCTGCTGCCCGCAGATAAACGGAGAAGGAAGTGACGCGCCACCATCAGCGTCAGCCTGAAGAAGCCGGCAGCTGTTCGGCGAAACCGTAGCTACAAACAGGTAAACAAAACTGTTTCTGTGTTTAAAAAAGAACGAAAGCATGGAGTTACTCTGGGCGGGTTACGTGTTGTCAGGCATTCAAGTATTGAGTATATTTACTGCATATTACAGTAAAATATTCTGTATGTGACCATATTATGGTGATCCTTGGGTCGTGATGATGGAGCCCTTGAATATTGTTGCCCAGGGTACAACAAAGTGTTAATCTGGCCCTGGATGCAGCTAAATGTGCAAAAATGAGCACCTTTTTTTCTCAAACAAGCTCGCGGTCTTTAACTTCAAATGAAGATAAAACGGGTAAGGCAAGTCAAGATGTTAAACTTTACCGGCTGCAAATCACCATTCAAGTTAATTAAGCATCAATAATGAATTATATGGCATCATGACATAACGTTATGTAATATAATTAACAGTATGATGTGACTGATGCCACCAAACTGTCTTGTCAGAGTCAAACACAAGATCCAGTAGGCCTAATAAGCACCAGGCAGAAACCCACCGTTCCAGAGCGGGCATGTACAGGTAGGATTACTTATTGAGTCAGTGAACTGAATATTATTAAAATTAATAGGATGAAGGCTATTTGTGTAGCCTGGCTCTATATGAAAGTGTCCTAAAATACTAGATGATTCAGCATTGATCAGAAAGTGTGTAAAAAAGGAAAATGAATGCTGAATTGTGACCATTTTCACACAATGTAGTGTCAGAAGAAGAGCCAGGAGCCAGCAGTGAGGGTATTGCTCCTGTTGGGATAGAAGGTGAGCCAACTCATGTGCAAACAAGCAAACATCAGTTTCATTATAATAATTTTAATTTCCAAATAATAGTAGTGACCTGATGTATTTTTATTAGTAAATGCACAAAGCCCACAACAGATCGCTATTACACACTAAAAACAGTTGGGTTAAAAATGACCCAATTTGGGCTGTTTTTTAACCCAGCCGCTGGAGCAATATTGCACCAGCCCAGCAGTAGTTAATTTAACCCAGCAAGATGGGTTCCTCCATTTTAACCCAGCAGATGAGTTAAATATTCCACCCAAATTCTGGGTCAAAATAGCCACAAATCTGGGTAAATTCAACCACACATACGTGTTATTTACTCTACCTAAATGCTGGGTCAAATTAACCACTATTTTGGGTTGTTTCAACTAAATATGTGTCATTTACTCTACCTAAATGCTGGGTCAAATTAACCACTATTTTGGGTTGTTTCAACTAAATATGTGTCATTTACTCTACCTACATGCTGGGTCAGATTAAGCACTATTTTGGGTTGTTTCAACTAAATATGTGTTATTTATTCTACCTAAATGCTGGGTCAAATTACTTAAACTATGGGTTGTTTCAACAACGTAATGTTCAGTAATCAATCCAAATGTTTGGTCAATATGCCAAATTATTTCTAACTCTTACATACAGTGCATTTTGGAAGACAGAAAATTGCACCTATCCATACTCAACTATCAAAACATACATGCTAGACTTGGTCACGTAAAGCATATACAATACAATAAAACTTCAACAATACTGAAATCTTTACAAGGCACTGCCTTGAAATTTATTCATATGAATGTAAACAATATAAAAGTTCTAATCACTTAACATCAAGAACTGCAACAATGTAAACTAAAATACATGTAACTCAGTGCTTAAAAAACAACATTTAAATGGTTAAGAGTACATTTTACAAATACCTATTTGCTTCTTTTGCTAGCACGTATTCTACTCTGTAGAAACTTTACTAGTTTCGACTCCCCTCCTGGTATTTCATAGACGGTGGTTTGCAGGAATTTCCAGACGTGTTCACACTGCCTCGGGTATTCGATGTCTAAAATAAAGAATGCCTTGAAGCAGGCATCGACGGCCTGAAGCAGCGTGTCATGTTCCACAGCCTGACCAGCAATGATCACAAAGGCCTGAGACACATGCTGTGTATCATTTCCCAACATCAGCACATAAGGGAATGGTCTTGTGGCCTTGGCCTCGTGGAGGTATTCCACCATGTTGGTTCCAGGCTAAAAAACAGAGAAAGAAAGCATAACAACAAACAGGTGAGAAGGAATGCGTGAGTAAGGAACAAATGTCTACCAACGTCAACTGGGTGACAGTGGCACAGGAGTTAAGTGCTTGCCCCGTAATCGAAAGGTTGCGTGTTTAAGCCCCGCTCAGTTTGTCGCTGTCATTGTGTCCTTGGGCAAGACACTTAACCCCCCCCCCCTGCCTTTGTCAGTACGCACCAGGGCAGCTATGGCTACCCAGTGTGTGAATGTGCTTGTGAATGGGTGAATGACTGTGTTGTAAAGTGCCTTCGGGGGGTTCTGGTCTCTATAAGATGCTATGTCAAATAAAGGTTATTTATCATTTAACTAGTACAGCAGAATAAAAAAAAGACATTGTGACAAGCATTTTCCTGGTCCTCACAAGAAATATTTAAAGAGCAAACTGCAGGTTAGACTCCCATGAACCAATGTTTAGAGAAATACAATAGAAACTCGTTCAAATTTTTTTTTTACACATATATAATTTAGGCTTTTAGAGTCATTTTTGTGAGTTTTTTTTTTGTTTTGCCAAACCAAGTGACGTTTGCTGAGGGCGTCCTGCTAGTTTAATCTAGCGATGCACCAATATGAAAAATTTTGGGCCGATGCCAATATCCGATATTAATATCACTGTTATGGCCGATAACCGATATTTGCCGATACCGATATACTGAATTAATGCTTCTAAAATCAGTTTTTGTATAGAATGAAAATTTTTAAAGCTGAATTTACGTTATGTACACACCACACACACATTTACAGTTCTGAGATGATTTCATTCACTGTTCACATGACTAAACAATCACACATCACCCCCCTCACCCTCTGAAACAGGCAAACAAATGGAGACAAGATGGAAAAAATATCGGTTGTTAATATTGGCCCGGTTTTATTTATCGAACCGATATTGATATGTAAAAAAAATGACTAACATCGGCCAATACCGATATTCATCCCGTTTAATCCAGAGAAAAATCTGGATTCTAATGCGGTTCTGACACAGAGGAAACTTTAAATGTTTATAATTCTACTTCTAATGGACCAAAACCATACAGCAAGGTCTGAATGGATTAAAACACAAAAGTGTTAACATATAAATAAGTTAACTTCTGAGTCTGTATGGTGTGGTAACGAGGCGATCATTCAGTGGCACTGCAGCCTTGTTTTAAAAGCATAAGATGTTTTTAAAGTGACCAACACAAGCTTGTAGATGACTTGACAATATTTGGAGGTATAAAATAACAAATCTGGATATGCGTGTGTGTGTGTGTGTGTGTGTGTGTGTGTGTGTGTGCGTGCGCGCACGCTTGCGTGTCTGCGCACACACATTCATGAGCCAAAGAATAACAGGTATATGTTAATGAAAAGATAAAAGTTTGCCTTTAGATGTACTGGAAGACTTACAGGTTTATGGTCGATGAAGGCCAAGTTGCATTCTTCAATGGTGTGGCGAACCATTTTTGCACTGTGGCCACGGCCGAGTTTGTAAGCAGTTGGAGGGAGCAAGCATGGCAACTGCCTCAGGCTGAGTTCACCAATGGCATCTGTTGAAGACAATATAGGTGAGAATATAATGTGTAATGGCATACATGTGATTTGTCATTTGGTATCCAAATAACATGAAACCTATGGTAACAGTTACATGCAGCCAATTCCCACCCTGTGGATGGTTACAGTGACATGTCTGTCGCCAACAAAATGGCTCTCAGAGCCAGCTCGTTGATGTGACCGATAGGAGCCGACTCCCGGCTGCAGGAGCCGGAGAGAATGACACAGACTGTACCTGCAGGTTCTTGAGCCGCTAAAAGACTGCAAAATGTGCGCATGTGGTACGCGCGCACCAACACGCAGCATACCTCTGATTGCTGTGAGATAAGGAGGAAGGGGGTGGTGAGGTTGCAGCGCACCTCCGACCACTCTGAAAGCAGGGAGAGGGATGGCACGCACAAATTGCCAGGGACAATTACTACACTGAACAAAAAATAAATAAATGCAACACTTTTGTTTATGCTCCCATTTTTCATGAGCTGAACTCAAACATCTGAAACCTTATCTACATACACAAAACACCCACGACTCTCAAATATTGTTCTGAAATCTGTCTACGTGTGTTAGTGAGCACTTTTCCTTTAACAAGATGATCCATCCCACCTCACAGGTGTGGCATATTAAGGGGCTAATTAGACATCATGAATAATGTGCAGGTGTGCCTTAGACTGGGATTGGGATTATCTTGTTAAAGGAAAAGTGCCCACTAACACACATGTAGACAGATTTCAGAACAATATTTGAAAGTCATGGGTATTTTGTGTTTGTAGATAAAGTTTTAGATGTTTGAGTTCAACTATGAAAAATGGGAGCAAAAACAGAAGTGTCGCATTTATATTTTTGTTCAGTATACAATAAAATGATAGGACCAGTAAACATTGGTGGAGACATATCTGTAAGAGACGAGCACTGCACAGTGTTTCCCCTACAATGGCTCAGATGTGGTGCTGCGCCACATGCGCTATTACAGAAAGTCCATCACAGCCCAGGTGAGTAATGTGCCCATCAGTTACCCCGGGTTTCCATGGGAGCCGTCAGCAGCACGTTACTGCAGCAGCACGTCTAGCTGCTGCTTGGCCCTTCCCACGAGACGCGACGCAGCAGAGGAGCAGCTGTCACCGACAGGGCACGAAGTCACACGAGTGACTTCGTCAGTAAACACAACAACAAGCAGGAGAAAACTACAACATGGCTCCAAAATGTTTGTGTTTTTATATTCTGTCCGTTTTATAATCGCCAATACGGACCTGAAAAACAAAGGAGACCGCTAGCTAGGTGATAACTTCTCACGGGGCCGCACAGTTAGTAACCTTTTTTAAAGTAAAGCGACCGGAAGGCAGTACGTTCTTCATTCTGAAAATCTCGGGAGCTTCTCTCCATTTCCGCGTCCGATTTCCTGTCTTTCCTTCCCCAAAAATGTCGAACTTGACCCGTTTCAGAGGCGTCGCGCGTAGGAAATAGAACCGGCGCGTAAAGGCCGCGACATGCTGCTCCTGAGACGCGGCCGACTCGCGCTGCTGACGGCTGCTGACGGCTCCAGTGGAAAAGGTTCTGTTGACCACAGCCGTTCCTATCAGCAGCTATGACGTGCTGCTGACGGCTGCTGTGGAAAGCCGGGGTTAGACTAAGGGTCTTGTTGCAGGCTTTCGACACTAGTTGGACTAAAATAGCCTAGTGAGGGAGACCAGCCTCGTTGGGGAAACCTTACATTGACACAAACCATATTGACAATTGCAAAGATGGCAAGCAAGAATATATTACCTTGTGTTAACCCATCCAGGGACGAGATCAGCTTTCCCTCCCGTCTTGACAGGTACAGGATTTTCTCCGCATAAATGGGTAGCCAAGTTTCGAACAACTTTGATGAAGCATCACCATGCAGGATAAGAAAGTCCTGTGCAATCTACAAAATAGGAAACCGTTTTTAAACAAATTCAATGTGGCATACTAATAAAAAACAATCATCGTCATCACGTTAATTATTATTTCTCTAAACATACCATGCCTTTGCTCATTAGGTGAGGGAATTCTTGGAGGATCTGGTAGATGGTCCAATTGTTATCCCTAATGCACTTGGCCCTGTAGACTGCAGTGTCTTTCATGTAGTCCTGTACCTGACTGAGGGGCTGGCAATTGTTTCGTAGCCATTCTTTAAGCTGTGATGCACGTTCGTCAGATATGGTACACTCTGTTAAAAAAAAACACAAGAATTTGATTCTGACATGCAAACACATACATGATGAAAAATGTGAGTTTTAGAAAAATTTTGAACACATGTAGATTCCAGTTTTTGGGTGAACTTTTTAAAGGGGTCATCACCAGAAATGTTTACCTTTCTATGTTAAAACATGTATATAATGGTTTGCTAATGATTGTACACTGGCCTAGAAGCCAATATTTAAAAGAGCAATGTTTGTTTATCCTTTTCTTCTTTAACTCGCCAACATGCACCTCATGTGCATGCTCTCTCAAAACCGTGATCTTGATTTTTGTTATGTCAAAGCGGCAGGATATTACCATACATGAACACACTGCTGTAGCTCGCACTGCCCCTCTCTCACGGAATAATGGCATCGAGCACCACCGCTACTGAATTAAGAAAACAAAGAAATAAGGTAAGTGAGTGGCTCCATTTTTTTCCAGCTTGAAGACTGTCCTCATTAGCAGCTATAGGTTAGCAAATTCCAGCAGCTGCTGAGGAAGTTGTTGCTCAGCTGGGCTGAGGGTAAGTGTCCCTCCACTCAGCTGGGGCGATGGCAGTCTCAGCTGGCAATCTTAACACAGCGGTTGATCCTACAGAGCTGGGGCCTAATTCATCAAGCTTGCTTACGTACAAAACAGGGTCAGAAAACTGTGTTAGCAGCTTTCCATGCAAACTTTGGGATTTTGAAAAGAAAACAGTGGAAAAATTGGACGCAACTTTAAGTTGGCTAAGGACCTGGCTTACGCACATTTTGGACAAGGAGAGCACCTGCAGTGCTGCTGAGAAGATACAATTATGAATTCCTGCAGCATTATCACTTGTACTGCTTCGTTTCCACACAGAACAAGATGAGATTGCTTTAATTATGTGAAAGATGATAATAAACACAAGAAAGATGGGTACTTCAATGGAAAATGCATATTTCATTGAACTCTGCTGCTGATAGACCAATTCATACTAAAAGTAAATAAAAATGCCCTGTCTACCACCTACCCTAGAACATACAAACTAAATGAGTACATGTTTTTTTCTGGTTAGATATGGCTACTAAAGGCTTACAAACGGTTTGAACCAAAGATTATACACCTATTTAAACAACTATTTTCAAAATTGTTTTCATGGACTTGCTATTTGTAGTTTAACATTTCAGATTACTGGTAAAAGAAGTGACCTACATCTATATCTATGTTAACTACATTAATATCTACGTATTTCTGTATAAAATCTATGTTCCACGTTGAGAGCAGGTAAGAGTGTTATGCAGGGCATATTTTTTTAATAGTGTAAACGGCAGTTTCTTTGTGAAACTCTGAAACATCCTCCTCTATACCTTTACATATTTGCACGACTCATGGGAATGTTATTCTCCAAAGTTAAAATGGCAAATTTCGCAGAAAGCCAACAAATTTTCATGTACGGGTGTTAAACACTAAAATATGTATGTTTTGCTTCATCAAATGATTAAGCTAAATAATTACCTGGTATGACAGCCCTTGCAAGAGCGCCATCATCTGGTGTTTGAGGCTGTGTCTGTGCTGTGCTCCGCGACCTGCTAGTTGATCTGAGTCTCTTTCTTATGTTCCGCAGCCTTTCCTCCAGAAATCCAGTGGCTGGCCGGTGGTTTCGTCCTGGGGTGAACCATATTTCCTGCCAACAAATGAAAATATTTGATTAATAGATATCAGGCATGTTTTAATTTTGGACACCATGGGCTATAGTTAGAAGAGGGTTTGTTTTTATGTCTGTCTGTCCTCAGAAGTAAAAAAGGTAAATAAAAATTTCCCACTGTTAAGGTTAAATTGAATCAAATTGGAGGTTGAGCTACATCATATGTCATTTGTCTGAGAATCATGACACTCCAAATAAATATTGCAATAACTTTTACCAAAAACACTCACACTGCCACTGCTTGATGAGTCTTTCAAACTGGGAAATGTCTGAACCAAATCGGTTGCCAGGGCCTTTTTGATGTCTGCTGTAGGACTGTAAAACAGAAAAAACTGCATCATCACATGGCCTAATATAGAAAACTACATTTAAAAAGATAGTTTACATTTTAGGACAGGAACAATGTATGAAATGAAAATGTTGGCATACTTAAAAGGAACGCTGTTATACATAATCAAATACAAATCTCTTGTAAGTACTTCTCTCCAAACTTTTCAACGAGGTGCGACACCAAGATACGGACGAGGAGACATCTCTGGCTATTTGTGATGATATTATCATCATCAAGGCTCTCGACAATTAGCTTTCCATCTGGTAAGCCTGTAACAATCTGCCGGACATCCTGAGAAAATAGCAAAAAAGACAACATTTCAGATGTATTTATTAATTTAGAAAAGGGTGATATTAATTCCAATCAATATCATCGTTATTTCAAAATTTTGCTTTCAGTGTTGTGAGCTTGTAGACAGCTACCGTAAATCCTCTAATACAGGCCCGGGCCTGTATTTGACTCAAGCTCATCAAGCTCCAGGCCTTTATTGGAAGGAGGGCCAGTATTAGAGGCAGGCCTCTATTTCTATTTGAGCAAAATGAACTAATGGTTCGCTGGAGATTTTGACAATTAAAATTGCGCCCACATTTTCAAAGTTAAACACATTTCTTTTAACAACGGTAGTTCCTGCTTCAGCCCTCTCCCCCCTCCCCCTGCGCAGCGGCCGCAAACTCACTGATGCGCCTGCAGCCTCTCAGAGTTCCTGCTGCTCTAAACATTAAAATAATTATTTCATTTTCTGTTCCTCACTTCTGATTACCTTGAATGGTGTCTGTTTGTTGCAACCACCAGGTACAAAAACTAACTTGTTTTTATTTGACTATTTTTCTGTCCTGTATCTGTTTATTATCTTCCTGCATCTCCTCTCAATCCTAAAGAAAAACTGCTACCTGGCTTCATATATATTCACCTCATGAGTTACCTTTGAACTGCAGTTCTAAAAGATCTACCGACCGCAAAAACAGCGGAGCGCTCGCTGCTTGGCGGCCGCATCAGTGATCAGTGCGTTGGAGGACAAGGTGATGCGCGCAGCGCCCCGCTCCTCAGCATGCAGCGAAACGCATCAGGCGCAAATAAAAGACAGAAAGCATTAAAGGAAATGAACTGACAAGAACGATCGCGTGTTAAATTAGTTTTTGAGGTGACGACACCTGATTGTTACTGTGGCCGTGCTCAGGAGGCAGATCTACCGACCGCAAAAACAGCGGAGCGCTCCCTGCTTGGAGGCCGCATCAGTGATCTGTGCGTCGGAGGACAAGTTGATGCGCCCCGCTCCACAGCAGCGATACACATCAGGCGCAAATAAAAGACAGAAAACATTAAAGGAAATGAACCGACATGAACGATCGCGTGTCAGTACCTACGGTCTGGCACAGCGCGTTGCCCCCCCCCCCCCCCCCCCCCCCCCCCACACACACACACCCCGAGCGCAGGAGCTTGTCACCTGCTGACAGCAGGCTGCTGTCTTTTCCGAGGGCTGCATCTTGCCGGTCATTATCACGTGACAGCGACTAGTCGACGACAGGCATAACAAGTCACTATAGTGAAGTTGACTAGTTCATACACCCCCTACTGCTGCTCCCCAGAGTGTTCTGCAGCATAATCAGCACGTTCTCTTTGAACTTGATAGTGTAATGACCTGGCTGGGGTTGTAAGCCAGGTGCATTCTGGGTATTGTGTTATATGTGTTTCCTATCGTTCTGCTGGTTCCTATGTGCTGATTTGCGTGTTGTGTGAGTGTTATGTAAGCCACAGGGAAGGTGATGTGTGTTCTGTGGAGCGGGTTGAATTAGCATGGTTAACTGACACCGTGACTCTGTGTGGTAGGAGCGTGATAGAGGATCGTGTCTGTAGCGTTCCAAAGCGTTGAAGAAAAAGCCTAATAAAGGTCTGCGTGAACCTCTACTGCCTCCTGCTGGTTGACTTGGGGACCATAACCCTGCCGCTGAGACGCTCATACTTGCTTGTTACCACGTTCCACCCGGCCACAATAAGAGACCAGCCATTATTCACCTCCACTGACTCCGACACCGGCCAAAATTGGAGACCCGGTCTTTAATTGAATACCGGCCTGTATTAGAGGATTTACGGTATTTCCTATTTTTTTCACACCAACATTGTTTAGCAAAAATATAATGTTGAATATCGAAACTTAAATGCAATGTGTGCTGAACTTGTAGATCGTCTATTTTCAGTGAATACACCGACTCCTGCCAAACAAGTAGTGAGCTTAAAGGGATATTCCACCACTAATTAAATTTGTGTGTTAGATTTTCCAGAGATAGAGATGTGAGAAAAATGATTTTGTAACCAGCCCAGTCATTCTCTTTATCTGGCAGTAGTAAGTTTACTTAATGACTGGGCTGAAATCTCTTTTCTCACTTATCTAACTCAGGAAAAACTAACAACAGACAAAAAGTTTACTTACGGCTAGAATATCCCTTTAAGAGGTTAGTAAAAACAAATATAGTTGATAAGAATATTTCTAATCCATTTAATTTGCAAAAACAATATATATATATATATATATATATATATATATAAAATTCTTGATCAATCAACATACACAAGATTGATTCAGTTTTGTTTCCAAATTTTGACTTTGACTAATTACCCAGCTAATTGTTGATTTAAAAAGTGACACCCTTGGTAGAACTTACAAACTGTGGAATAATGTGTATTGTCTGAATCAGCTGATTCACTGATACCACCGCTGCTGCTTGTTCCTCCGTGGGGGTTGTAGGTGTGTCAGTTGAAGTGACATCAGATCTTGTAGGTGGAACAGCAGGTGCAACAGCAGGTGCAACCTATGCAGAAAATCCCAGTTAATAATCAGTCACAGGCACCTGGAATATTTAGCTGAGCATCAGTATGTAAACACGGATTGATAATAAACAAAGTGATAGTTTGGACTGCGGTTAATATCTGTGGATGTTTTTGCTGCACGAGGCTAGTGGACTGCATAGAGAATGCATGATGTGACTGA